ATTGCTCTTTTACAGTTTAACACGTGCAGTTCTGCTGGTAAATTTGCATTTGCATAAGATGCAAAAACCACTTACAGCGATGATTTTTTCCTTGATTCCACCAACCGGCAATATCCTACCAGTTAGTGAGATCTCGCCCGTCATCGCGAGATTCTGCCGAGCTGGCCGATTTAGTGCCAGCGACAAAAGCGCAGATGTTACTGTACAGCCTGCCGACGGGCCATCTTTTGGCGTTGCACCCTGCAAAATTCTTCTTTCCGTAATTGCTACATCATCGTGTATTCCATCCTATCGACGTTCTTGGCAATAAGATCTTCTTTACCTTTTCTGCCCTCCGAAAAAAGTATGAACTATTATGTTCATTCCGTCTTTTCCGCGGTCTCCAGCTTAAACTAGCAATCCTTTAAGACAACGTCAATTAACTTCAACAAAAAAGTTAATCAACACTTAATCCAAGGGCAGTCCACAAGAGCTGTGAAATTCACATGCTGCAAAAGCAGTACCGCCGCACTGAGATGCAACTACGTGACACCAAATTTTCATCATTCGCAGAAACACAAAAACAAACCTCAGGAACATGGACATGGATATGCGCTCGATCCAAGAATTCATTGTCCGGGAAGTGCTTCCTAAGTGTATTCCTTGCAACCGTGTAGGCAATACGCACACTTTCTTTCATCACATCCCCCAGATGTCCAGTTGCTTCGAGGCTTCCAAACGGAAGACGTGCTGCCGCATTATCATCAGCAGAAGAAACGTTAGAAATTCCACTATCAGTACTGTTGCTACGTGAAAAAGATCGCGTCGATTCAGATAAGCTTCTCCGCAAGCACGCTTCGATATATAAGGCCGAACCACCTGCAAAGAGATCACCGTGTAGTCTCTTCTGTCAAAAATGAAAGCCCTCTAGTGACACTTAGCAACGTTGCCGGTGCGATCATGCGCTCCTGCAGCCTGAAATCTGCCGTATCCCCAAGCATGACGGTAGCGTGCGTGAAAGCTGCTATTGTGTTTTTCTTAGAATTAGGCACACTTCTCCAAAAATTTCAAATTTTTTGTTTGTCTCATTGCAAGGGGTCTCATACTAAACCTTCGCTTGCGTGCATGCAAGAGTAAGGCATGTTTTAAAGCTAAATTTGAAATATTTAAGTCGCAAACGGCCATGGAAAATCCCTGCAAAATTTGAGCTTCCAAGCTCGGCTGTTTGGCAAAACTGTTTTTCGTTACGAACATCTGTGGCAAGTCTGAATACCTGATACAGATATACGCCAAAGTTCATCTTCTGCCTTCATACCTGCATGTGGATAACAGATATTCTTCTAAAGTCAGTAAACTCGCCAGTATAGATCCAGAATTCACAATTTGCCAACGGTGTCCCATTCAACCTTGATTTTGTAACGCTGGCAAGCGTAACAGCTGAGTTTCAAATCTTTAGCTTACATAAGGGTACAGAGTGACCCTCGTGAAGTTTGAGCTTCCCGTCATGTCTGATTCCCAAAATCGTTTTTCCATCACAAAGTTTACACGCTTTCTTTTTAGACTTCGTGAGACCTATGAGTAAATGAACGATAACTTTTAAACAAGGAAATCGTACATGAGGTGAGAATATGCTCCAAAAATTTCAACCCCTAGTTTCCTTGACTGATGAGTTAAAATGGGTGACAAAATCGGAACACATACATGCACAACAACAACAATAACTCCTTTTGCCAACATACGCTTACGCATTTGCATAAGTATGCAACAACGCACAAAAACGATGAAGCGATCAAAAATAAGCGCATGATAAGGTGAAGGTGAATATTGTAAAGAACATTCAAATGCTGCATTTAAACAAACAAGAATTTGCCAACGGTGTTCCACTCAACCTTGATATTGTAAGGCTGACAA